GGGGGGGGGGCTGAAGGGGCCGAGCAGAAGAATGCTTCTGGAGTAGCATGGGACGGCAAAGCCCACAAGACTTACTCGCGAACCATCGAGTCGGCACTAAAGCGTATTACTGAGGGCGCTATAGGGACACGCGAGGGGACACGGAAAGATCCCCGCCCAGCCGAATGGGCTTAAAGTGCAGGTTATGTCTAGATACGGACCGGCGGCGCCAAGGCAATCAGACAAGGCTTCCACGGTGTTCACTACGAAGACGAAGGCGGGGTGGCGAAGAGCGATGACACGGCGGCGGCAGTGGACTGCCCTCGCCGAGCACAACAAAACAATCACATCGGCCATACGCGGGGTCGCATCTCCGCGATCACTTTCACTCTCGTTCAAAATAGCTTCAAAACGCTCGCTTAACCTCCCTTGTTCATATCACAGAGCCAGATACCACTCTGAGGTGAAAAGGGGAGAGAGAAAAAACACACGCGTAGGTCAAGGGAGCCGCGCAGGGCGTGGGGCGGGCGGACGGACGGACGGACACGTTGAGTTCGAGTGGAGGTTATGTGACGGCAGCAGGCGCGAGAAAGCTAACGCGGTTAACGCGACCAACACTTCGACGAGACGGACTAGCAAAATGTGCAACACATCGAGTTGGGTTGTAGGGCAGGACGCGCGGGCGCGCCCCGGAGCTCCGGGCTTGAAGGACCAACCGAACAGCGAGTGAACTGGTCGCGCACTGACTGACTGACAACCACCGCCAAGCTCTACTTCCGGCTCCGCGCTGCGGAAGTAGGGCTTCTGCTGCTGTGCATCGTCTGCAGGTTGTCATCAAGGCTTTATCAGCTTAAGGATCTTAACATCTTTTTAACAGATGCATTTTCATTATTTTTAGCACTATGGCAATGATTTTTAGTTATGAATGTGTTTAAACTGGTAAAAAGTGCTGACCGGAACATTTAGAAAGATTTGCCATCGCTTCAGTTCGATGGATAGCAGAGATCCGTGGTTTCGCGGGATCTTAACACAACTTTCAAGGAAACTATGAATCATGATTCTGTCGGTCGTTGTAGCGATCCCGAATGTTTTGGTCGGCATTTTAGCGAATATAAAAGACATTCAAATGTAAAACCATAGTCATACTATCAAATACAATGCAAAATGCACTTGTTAATATGTTAAGATCCTTAAGCTTAAAGCTCAAGTCCCCTAGACAGCGTACAATGACTCTTTCCCTGGAGCGTCGGCTTCTGCCTCGTCTCTATGGCTCAGTCGGTAGCGCGCCCGCTCGGAGCGCGGGAGGTCGGTGGTTCGATTCTCCGTCGATCTGAAATTTTTCTCAGGCCACCAAATTTCGAATGGACTTCAAACCCGTCATTTCACCACGCCCCTCTCGTGGTCTCCCGATGGCGTAGTGGTTACCATTGTTGGTGGCACTGCGTCATATGTGTCAGAAAGTGTCGGCTCTGGGCCGGGGTTCGCGCCCCGGTGCCTGCTTGTGAGAATGGCCTGCCTGCCTGCCTGCCTGCCACCTCGCTGTGGTAGCGGGGTGGATAATAAGACCTAGAAACTGGCTGAAAAGGGCTCCATGACCTGTGGTGGGTCAGTACAGTTTAACCAACGTACGCCTCAACCGTCTCACAAACCCCGGGAGTATATTCTGACCACTGTGGAAGAAAGCGGCTGTTCGGAACAGTGACCCCAATTTCAGCATAGCGACGAGGTCGCAGAAAAATAGGTCGGATAAAACCGAGATCGTACAGCACTTTGGGGGATTTTGGAAAAATTACCAGGTTGGAGAAAAGTATGTCGGACAATCTAAAGGAACCCACGACTCGAGCGGAGCGGGGTGCTGAGCTTCACGTCTGTTGCAGCGAGTGGAGCGGAAGACGCTGTGGTTCGTGTACTCGGGCATGGGCAGCCAGTGGGCGGGCATGGGCGAAGCGCTCATGAGGGTGCCCACCTACGCCGCGACCATCGAGAGGCTGCACGCCGTCCTCAAGCCCAAGGGCATCGACCTCAAGACCATCCTCAGCGAGACGGGGCCCAGTGCCTTTGACAGCATCATGAAATCCTTCGTCGGCATCACCGCCACCCAGGTAAGGCCCTGCGGTCGTGGTCCGCCACAGTCCGGCCGGCGACCTCCTCGTCGACGACTAACGACGGCGCACGGGTTTGCAGATCGCGCTGACAAACGTCCTGGCCGCGGTGGGCCTCCGCCCCGACGGCATCATCGGGCACTCGGTGGGGGAGCTGGGCTGCGCGTACGCCGACGGCTGCCTCACGGAGGAGCAGGCTATCCTGGCGGCGTGGGCGCGCGGGAGAGCCTCTAGCGAGGCCAAGCTCGTCAAGGGCATGATGGCCGCCATCGGTGAGCATCAGAGCACCGCGTCGACGAACTCCCCGCCCGTGTCCAAGGCCTGACCTCCGATGTTGTCTGCCGCCAGGTCTCGGGTACAGGGAGGTGTTGCCCAGGCTGCCGCCGACCATCGAGGTGGCCTGTCACAACTCCAGCACCAGCTGCACCCTGTCCGGCCCCGCGGAGGCCGTCGAGCAGTTCGTCGCCAAGCTCAGCGCGGAGGGCGTCTTCGCTCGCGCCGTCAACGTGTCCGACATCGCGTACCACTCCACCTACATCCAGCCCGCCGCCCCTTTCCTGAGGAAGTACCTCGAGACCGTCATCCCGGAGCCCAAGAAGCGCTCCCCGAAGTGGGTGTCCACTTCGGTGCCCCTGGACCGCCAGGTATACACGAGAACTCCTCGGTGCGGCAACAACCTCGTCCTCGTCGTCGACGCTTTCACTGATCTCTGCCGTGCTCCCCCGACAGGGCGAGCCCTGGGCCCAGCTGTGCTCCGCCGAGTACCAGACCAACAACCTGCTGAGCCCCGTGCTGTTCGAGGAGGGCCTGGCCTTCATCCCCCAGCAGGCGCTGCTGGTCGAGGTGGCGCCCCACGGCCTGCTGCAGGCCATCCTGAAGCGCGCGCTGCCGGAGAACTCGCACCTCCCGCTCACGCAGCGCGGCTCCGCGGACCCCGTGCGCTTCCTGCTCGGCGCGCTCGGCACCGCGTCCTTCCACGGCCAGGAGCTGGACGTGGCCAAGCTGTACCCGCCCGTCAGCTTCCCCGTCTCGACGGGGACGCCCGCCCTGTCGCCGCTCGTGTCCTGGTCGCACGACGAGACCATCTACTACGGCTTCAAGTTCCGCTCCGTCCGCGAGGGCTGCGAGTCCCTCGAGCTCACCGCGCACAGCCCACACATGTCCGTCAACGGGTCGAAGGTGTTGCCCCCCGTCGAGGAGCTGGTGAGGAACCCTTAGAGTCCCCCCCCCCCCTTTCTTTCTTTCTTTCTTTCTTTCTTTCTTTCTTTCTTTCTTTCTTTCTTTCTGTGTTTTTAAATTTATGTCTTACCCGTGACCCGGGCCTGCTCTCTCGCAAACGTCCGTCCCGTGTGCAGTCGCGGCTTGTGTTATTTGTATGATGGACCTACCCTGAACGCAGCAAGCGCCTGCTACGCAAAGGGTAGGCCGGCCCGCCGAGCAGCTGTGTGAAGATGGGGGCTTTGGGGGGGTGTTTTACACAGTAGTGCAAAGAAACCAAAAGAGATGAAACCACACGCCCACAGCAATGTCAAGTCACCGAGCGACGGGTTCAAGCGGTATGCGCACATGCGCACTAGGTAATCAGACTGATGATTAGTATTCCGTAGCCAAGGTGGACAATGGCAATTGGCACACAGGGAAGTTACCTTTAGTTATCGCAGCGTCGACCGCGTGTTCTGGCCTATCCCAACACTCTGTGTGTTAGCCTCGTATGTAAACCCTTTGCATGGCTTTAACACGTTGGGTGCGGCGGGGGTAGGCAATCCCATGTTATTGGGACCCACGGTGTGGGTCACGCCGCACTGAACGTGTTAAGGCAATAATCATTTAAAAGCATACGCTGTGGAAAATATCTTCGTAAATTTACGTCAAGTCGGTATACATTGCTAGTAGCTTTACGATGTTAAATTGTAATTTTACGACACGTTTGATGGAAAATTTTCCCGTAGAACGTAAAACTATTTGTCACGGCGTCCGTGTGAATCCTCGTGTTATCCTTGTTTCAAAACCGTGCGGTATCGTCGACGCACAGACCCCTAAAGTACGTTGTTGTGGCAGATGCTCTGACGACAGGTAGTAGTCCGCGACACAAATATTATACGAAGTGGAAAGCCCCGGGGGAGGGGGATGGGTCAAGTAGGCTAAGGTGGTGGTGGTGTTTCTGCAGTCCACTTTCATCGTCTATTGAAACAGAGATGTGTTTTTCTCGGTGGCTGACGTGAGCAGCGGGGGTGCGGTGCGCCGGTGGCCGCGGAGGCCGTGGTGGGGGAGGGTGGTCGTCGTGGTCATTACCATAGCGTGGAGCTCTGCTGGGCCCGTGACGCCCTCGCACCACCAGTGCGCCACCAGCGAGCGTCGGCCCGTGTCCCCCAAGTCAGAGCAAACGACACCATGACGGACGTGGTCATCTCCGGCATCGGGGGGCTCTTCCCCAACAGCGGCGACCTCGAGACGCTCGGCAGGAACATCCTGGCCAACGAGTACCTGGTGCAGCGCCACGAGCACCTCTGGCTGCGGGGTGGGTACAGCAGCGAGGACGGCGACGAGGCCGGCACCTAGGCGGGGAGACTCCGGCCCTTGATCGCGGTGCTCCTTTGTGTCCGACAGATGAGCGGGTCAACCTGGAGCCCGTCGGCGGGCGGATGCCGCACCACGACCGCTTCGACAACACCTTCTTCGGCATGCCGAGGAAGCTCGCCACTTGGGTGGACCCCCTGGCCGTCCTGGGCTACGAGCGATGTTTCGAGGCCATTATGGACGCCGGTGAGGACCGCGTCAACGACTCGACCCACCCGATCCCTTAGCCACCCCTACGCCTACAAATCATTTTGAGCATTACTTCCAAGCGGATATTATTGTCGTTCCGAAAAGTTCCGAATCGGCTCGTTGTCAACGCCAAACATGTTTCCCCTTATAGGCGTCAACCCGCACTCGATGCGAGGAACCAACACGCACGTCTACGCCGGCACCAACCACTCGGACAACGAGGCGGGCTCGCTGGACTTCATGAAGTACTCGGACGGGTACGCCATCATGGGCCACAGCCGAGCCATGAACAGCAACCGGGTGTCGTACTACTTCGACTTCAACGGTACGAAACGGCCGAGTCTACTAGCAAAAGGCGGGAGGATGTCCAAAACAAACTTAGTGTCTGTAAGTCAACCCGCGAGAGTCTTTACAACAATATCTACCTGGCGCTCCATCTACAGGCAAAAGCTGCGCCTACGACGCCGGTGACGCGTTCGGCCAGCTGGGGCTCGCCATGGCACTCGAGGCCATCTCCACGGGGGAGACGGACTCGGCGCTCGTCGTCGCCTCCACCTCCATCGCCTTCCCAAACGTCTGCCAGATGTACCAGGACATGGGCGTCCTCAGCCGCGACGCGCTCTGCCACCCCTTCGAGGGCTCGGGTGAGTGCGGGCGCTCAAATGTGCCGAGTGGGGTCACAGTCACAGCGAGGTCACGGTCACGGCGAGGTCACGGTACAGTGAGTGGCCCTCCGGCGGAAACAGAGATCGCAGGAACAGATGAGTGGGGCAAGCCGGAAAAGCTTACGAGCGCCCTCGGTGGGATTAGGCGTGGACGGTCTTTCCGAGTTGAAAGAAAGCAGGGACCACGCGCGCGAGTTCATTCTGCACAGAACCCGTGTTTTGTCGGGAACATTGGTCGGTCGACGAAATCGCTTCCGGATATTTTGGGTTGTGTTGTGTACAACGCGGCCGCCGGTCGGGTCCTACAGCGTGGGGAACGAGGCGCGACGGGCGCGACACAGGGTCAGCCCTCGGGGTCGCGGCTACCGGGGGA